AAATGACTTAAACATTAAAAAGCTTATTTCTTGGCAGTAACAATTCAAAGTTATAAAGCAAATAATTAACCTTCTGATACCTGGGGGCAAAGGGGTTTTCTTCTGAATCAAAACCACTGCAACTTTTGTGTTTCTTCCTAGTAAACTTTGTCTGCAATGGAAAAAACAATAAAACTAATTAATTAATTTTAACTGAATGTATCCAAGATTTTACACAGAATACAAGCTTGATACATTAAAAAAAAAAAAGATTAAGAGCAGAGTAACTATTTTCATAAACATTAATAATTTCAATTTTAAATAATCATTTCAATTTTAAAAGCATAATACAGATGGGCATGGGGCCACACTGTGAGAGGCTGAGGCTAGAGACAAGTTTGAAACTGGCCTGGGCAATTCACCAACTTAGCAAGACCCTCATCTCAAGATAAAAAATAAAAACGGCTGTGGATGTAGCTCAGTGTGAAGGCCTTGGGTTTAATGTCAAGTATAAGAAAAATGTGAAAGTTTAATGTATGTAAAACTTGTAATACAACTTCTTCCTATGACACATTAGTCATATACTCTAAAAGACAGTTTAATACAAAACTTTATGTAAAATTATAATTTGTTTCTAGTCATACATTAGTCACCTAAGAGTGACTGTCTTAAATTTAGTTGTCTTAAATTGAACATCAATTGTGTTGAACATCAAACTGATGTTCAATTTAAGACAAAACTAGGGGTTGGGGAAATGGCTCAGTGGAATAAGCGCTTCCCTGGCAAGCGCAAGGGCCTGAGTTCAATCCCCGGTTCTGCCAAAAAAAAAAAAAAAAGACAAAGCTAGTATCTTATGAGGACAAATAATAAATTTTTGAGTCTCCAAAGAACATTATCAATGCAAAAAAAAAGTAAAATTCAGACAAATCTGGCTTCTAAGTTCCTTCACATACTGTAGCATTATACACAGATAATACTTATACTACTTATCAGGGTCTGGCAGTCAATAATCCCCAAAATGATCATTGAAGCAGAAACAGAACTCAGTTGTTTTCAATAAATGTCAGTAAATGATAGATACCTGCAAACTACCACAGCCCACTTGGGAAATGGAGATCCTACCTGACAATTTCCACTCTGGTAGCACACTCGGACTGCTTTTCTTTCCACTGAGGCTCATCCCAGTCCAGTTCATAGAACACAACCACTAGGGCGGGCACCAGGTTTAGATGCTTATTCATCCAGCCAGTCTTTAAGATTCCTTTAGGAATGTACCACTCATACGAGGTTCTCTGCAAACAGGGGTTAAGTTAGTTATTTAATAATGAAAGCAGCAAGATCTACTTATTGGGTGCCCAGCACTTCATATGCATTTATTTCATTCATTGTGAACACTGCCCAATTTTAAGACAAGTAAATCATGCTAACACATGCGAAGACAGCAAGTGTTGGAAGAAGAATCTCAACCCTACAAACAACACACTTCCTATCAAGGGAGAAAAGACAAAGCCAAGAAGTTTCCTACGGTGTTAGAATTACAGCTGTGGACTAGCACAGCAAGCTAAAGGTTAGTTGTGAATTTAACACTTTTCCTCATACAGTAAAGTTCTATATATAATTCCTCAAGCATGTTGAGTATACCTTATGTAAATCTATATCATCTGACTATTGCATACTTCCAGTTACCTAAAACAAAGTAAGTGCTCAAAAAATAGGTGTGAAATGGAACCTATCTTCAAAGAACATGGATTCTACAATGCCTACAGTTTTATGTACCACAGGGTTTTCCAGGACACACAATGCAAACAAAAAAAGACACACACATATGCACATACGGGGGGAAAGTGGATATAATCCTAATGTCATTACCTTGGATCTACATTTAGGATATTCATGGTCACCTGGGAGCACCTTGAAAGAAATTGGTACCCGATCAGCCCTCCGATTGGCACAGAAAGCATCCCAGACTGCTCGATGGACAGCATTGTAAACAACATCTAGGCCTGTAAGTGTAACAAAAGCCATAGGCCGGCAACATAATTCCACAGGGAAGTCCCACTGTGTAGGGCTCATGTTTAAAGTGTCACGAAGAATCTGAAATACAAATGACAATTCACAGTTTCAAAAGCTAGTATCTGTATCTAATATATGAATACCTAGTATTTAAGCAAATTATTATTTTCAGTAATCTCTCAAAATGTATTCCAAGCTTTGGAATTAACAGACTATAAAAGCAGGAAAGTTAACAAATTAAAATGGGTGTGTATTAACTATTTCAACCATAATAAGGAAAAAACTGGCTTACATATACTAAAATGTACAATACCCTCTAAGTTTTCTGTAACTGCTAATATCTAATTTCTCAATGGTTGATATTATTAAAAGATGCTTATTATCTAAGTAGCTGTTTTCTCATTTTCCACAATATAAAATGCCCTTTTTAAAGGAAAACTTTTAAAAGAAAACTAGTAATGATGGAAACCTTTAAGACATATTTCTACTATGTCCTATAGCTGAGTGCTGACTTTGTATAATAAACTCAAGCATGTACTTGCTTTAGAAAAGCAATTATATAAAAATGTGTCTATTCCAAACAAAATTATCATTATATTTAAAAAATCATCATTTCCAAAAAGATGTATCACGAGCTACTTTCAAAAATCATCTCCACCAATACATTACACAGAACTCTAGTGATATGAATCAGAAGTATACATTACCGAGGGAGCAAGGAACAAAGAACAGAGCCTAAGGAAACTGGCTCCTTGGAATTCCAGCAAGCTGGAGAGAGGGTGGTAACAGATTCCTGGAGGTGGCATCCTGCCAGTTCTTTGTTCCTTTACCTGGGAAGTTACAACCAGTGATCTGTAAACTAGTAGGTGAATGCCTGAAGATAATGTAGATAGCAGTTTGTTTACACCAAATTAGTTATGCACATTCCTTAGTCTCTTTGTGGTCCTCAATAAATGTGAGAAGGTTCCCTGGCTCAGGGCTCACTTAGAGACTAAGCTCAGTGAGACCCCTGTGGCCGATTTCATCCAGCTTTGCTGTGGTTCTTTTCACGGCTTCGATCATTCTACAACATGACTCAAGTATAATTTGTGTGGAAAATGAGAATCACTTATACTACCACTTGAATCGTAAAATATGCAATACTTTTTTTTTTTTTTTTTGGTACTAGGGATTGAACTCAGGACCTTGTGCTTGCCAGGCAGGTGTTTACGTCCCTGAGCTATCTCCCCGGCTGTATGCGATACTTCTAACTGAAAGTTAATTTAGAATGCCTTAATTAACATTTTACATTTAAGTACTGACAGAATAATGAGTACTGAATAAATAACTTGAACAGCTTACCAGAATGATAAATGTCAATAACATAAGTGTCAGCCATGAGTTTAGAGAAAGAAATCCCCCAGTTCAAGGAAATTTGGAAATGAAAATAAAAAAGAGGCGGTCAAATAGTATAGGTACCTTTGATTAATGCCAACGAGTTTACCCTAGAGTTCTAAAGGTCTTTCCCCTTAATCACCCCAGAAACGCAAAAGAAATTGCTATAATCTTTGAATATGAAGAAGAAATGGGGAACTAACAATGACTTAGAAAACTTTAAATCAGGGCCACTCAAGAGAAATTGTATGGGTCACATAATTTGACTTTTTCTAATAGTCATAATAAAAAATAAAGCAAATGTGTGGAAATCATTTTAATAATACTCTAATCCAAAATTTCTAAAAATGTTATCCAAACATTAATATAAATTTACTAATGAAGTATTTTACGTTTTTGTACCAAGTCTTCAGAATCTGGCATACATTTACACACACAGCACATCTCAATTTAGACTGTCCTATCTGAAGCACTCAACTGCCACCGTGGCCACTGGCCACCACTGTGGACAGAGAAGCTTTACATCAACTAGATCAAGGTATATCCGTTCCAGAATTGCCGCACGAAAGCGGTGTCAGGAATTCCTGACACCTCCTACTTTCAGAGCCTTGGCACTTGAAATGGTCATGTTTATTCCATGGGAAAAGGATGAGCTTGGGAGAAACACCAGAGAAGAAATTTCCAGATCTCCTGGAAGACGCCAACAGAGCAGCTACTCAAAGCGTAACACAGAAGGACGTGCAAAAGTGGCTAAGTGCACACTCTGGATAGACGCACCTAGTGGGAGGGAAGTAACCTGGAAGGTGGCATGGAACATTCTAAGAAAGCAAAGCAATCAAAATAACAAAAAAAAGAATGTGATTATTTAATTCACTCATCCGAGCGCAGAACATAGGCTACTAAGAACGGGATTCAAGAGATCTCAGACTATAAAAGGACCAAAAACAACGATAGTTTGGGCCAAAATGGTGTGGGCGTGGAGGGGAGCTGATGCTGAAGATGTGAACCAAAAATCCAATTTAGGAAGAGTTCCCCACGACCGCAGTATTTATCCTGCCCTGGAAGCTACAGAGAGCAAGGGAGGAAAAACAACTTTGCAACCTTAAGGGCAGACAAAATCCTCCTCCTCTACTTCTCCCATCTCCTGGAAGGCCTCAGAAATAAATGCGATTTTCAAGACTGAAAGACAAGCTCCAGGGCTGCTCTCTACGGCGCCTTGGGGACACCCAGAGCTCCAGCTAGCACTGATCAGGGCTGGCCCCAGTCTCTGGCACTCTAGCCTAGCCCTAGATCTCTAGGCCCGGACTCACCCCGGACGCACGCCCCAGGCCCGTTGTCGCTGTAGCCGGTCCCCGTCAGCAGAGCCGGGCCAGAGGAGGTGCACAGGGGTGTCACAGAACGCCAGAGCCTGCTCCGGAGGGCACCGCCGCAGACCCCTTAAGAGAGACTTCCTCTGCCCCGCCCATCCGCTGACCCAGGAAGCATTTGGTGAGTGTGAGTGACAGTACTTTTCACCAATCCCTCCCCTGAATGCTGCTCCGCTGCTCAACTCGTGAGGAAAGCGCTCGGTTTCGTTGGGGAAAAGAGCTGGGAGCGGAGAGAAAGGCAGCCAATAGGAGAAGCCACAGGCGGGAGGGGCGGGGCCTCCGCCGTTACCTGCCCGCAGCTTCTCCTGGACGCGGGGACGCACCATCTTCGTGGCCTGCGTCTCCTTCCCCGAGGCCCGCGGCCTCCAGGCCCTCGCTTCACGCTGACGAGGGTCAGGGCTGCGCGTGATCTTGGCTCTGCCGCTGCCAGGGAGGGTGCCCCACCACCCCGCAACCGAGGCTCGGAAAGGGGACGCCCTGGCCTCCGGGCCCCAGCGCTCGCTTTCTCTACGTGGTCGCGGCCGCAGCCGGCCTGGGAGGCGCCCGGCGCGATGAGCGCCAATGAGGACCAAGAGGTGAGCGCCTCCCCTCCCCGGCCAACCCGGCCGCGGAGCCGAGCAGCCCCGGGCGCCGCGCGCGTCCTGCGCCCTGGCTCGGCCGCCCCGAGCGCGCCGGGACCCTGCGCGGAGAGGCCTTGCAGGCGGGAGTGGGGGGAGACTGCCTCCGTCCCCCCCGCGTCTCCCTCAGTGTTTCATTTTTGCACATCCGGGAGTGTCCTCTCCAAGCGTGGTTGTCTTACTGCACGGCCCTGGCTCGCCGCGCTTGGAATCCCCGGGTGTTGCTGCCTGAAAACCCGATCACCGTTCAATTTTAGAAGCCATTGGTTGTTAGGGGGTTAGTTGTGTTAAATTTCTGGTGGAGGAAAATGACAGTGGTGTCTCCCGCTTCCCTGTACTGTTGAAAGAAATTATTTATCCATCTGTTACTTGCCAAAATCCGTTTGCGTATATGTGCATCTCCTGAACTGTATGGTTTACGTGTCAGTATTTTACTGTCAGTTTGCCTTTGAATCATACTGGTGCAGGCAGCCGAGTTAGATAAATTATAGGCATTATTATAGGCAGTCAGACAGGGCCAGGCCGTCGAAGGAGATTACACAGAAGACAAGATACCTTACAAATGGGGGAGGGAACAACTGTGGGAGGGACGGATGCTCCTGCAGTGAGCCAGACCTAAAGACCAAAGATCAAACAAATGCCGACCTCCCTAAAGATAAGCGTCCAGGATTGATCTTGACCTTGAGGGAGCCAGAAGAATCATTAATCCGACTACTACTGGATGGCTGGCTACCTGATAAAATCCTGGTCTACATTCATGATGACTCGCTTCCCCATTTGGTCCTCGACTTAATCAATTTTACCTGAGCAATGGTGCTTGTAATCCCATTGGGTGATCATAGTTTTGTCCCACCCCACATCCACCTAAGCAAATTCCCTTGTTAGACCTGCCTCACTGAATGGTTTTACTCTGTAAAAGTCCCTGGAAGAGACAGCTTCCCAGGGACAACCCGCTTGGGCCCCCACCCCCTCCTGTCCATCTCTCGGACAGGAGCTTTCTTTCCCTCAATAAATATATTCTGCTCATAACCTCCGTTTGTTCCTAAAATTCATTCTTCGGTTTTAGAGAACACGAACTGGTGCAGGTCAGGTCCAGAGATCATTTTTCCCTATGTCATTTGGAGGTTCCCTGTATCGTTTGGAGGTCACCCACCTGAGTTCAGTTTTTCTCCCTGTATCAATACAGGTCAGTTGTAGGGGAAGCTTTTAACTTTGACATGTGTATGGGTGAGGAAAAGTGTCTAGAGTGGTAAAGTCAGTGTCTCGAGAATGTAAAGAGCATGTGGTAGAATCAAAATTTTAAGTCCCTGTGCGTAGTGTAGATAAGCAGTAGTAGGTCGCTTGTTTTCAAGAGCTGCTGCTTAAAAGTGTTTTTACTTTACAGATGTAGTAGAATCTCTGGATTGGAAGTTATTGTTAAAAGAACCCAAAATCCAACAAGCTAATAGATACCTGAGTACCCTTTTAAAATATTCTTAGACAAGCAAGTTTCTAAACCAAGGCATTAAGAGTTCTGATACTTGGGAAGGAGGACAGAGTAGTCATTACATACAAAGTTACAATTAGGAAGAATAAGTTCTGATGTTCATTTACACAGTAGAGTAACTACAGTAAATATCAGGGTGATATATATTTCAAAATAGTTAGAAGAGGGGATTTCATTATAGGTCTCACCTATGAAGAAACAGTGAATGTTTTGAGTTGTTGGATATGCTGTGTAATCTAATGGTTGTATAATCTGTACATGTATCAAAGTACCATATTGCACCCCACAAATGTGTATTATGTATCAATTAAAAATAACTGTAACCCTGAAAAGCACAGAAAATAATGTTTCTCAAAGTTTGACCCATGGACCACTGTAGGTGGTTGTTAAATGAACTGGTGCCAGCACATCACCTCAGACCAACCAAATCAGAATTGTATGGTGGAGCCTGGCAATCTTCTAACCAAATTTTGTTCCTTCTGGGAGTGGATGTATGGCTACTTGTAGGCAATTTTTGGCCTGTTATTTAAGACCTCCTCTTCTCAGATGAAATGGTTCCTACTAGCTATGTCCTCATAAGTCTAGTCTTTGCCATTCCTTTCCTATCTCAGAATTGAATATTTATGGACAAATTCTAAGTTTATGTCCTATTTTAAAACTGGCCTCACACAGTTTTCTGTTTTATTATCAAACTGACACACTTTGTATATACAAAGCAAATTATCTTTCATCCTTGGATCTTTAGGTATCTTAACTACAAATTCGATTTGCCCTGTTAAGTTTCATCATTTTTTTTAAAGAACGTTTTGCAGTTTTCCTGTATAATCACTGTGATTCACTGTCTCTTCCAATTAGCCACACATTTTTGGGAAAAGTTTTCAATTAGTAATAATTACGCCTCGGATAAACCTCATGGCTACAATACTGCCACTGTGCAAAGCTAGCCACACATTTTTGCAAATTAAACTATTTTTGTTTTTTACAACGCTTTAATTGAAATATGAGAAAGGATTAAGAGTAGCACTGTATTTGTTGTTGTCTTCTTTTCTGTTAAAAGAGCATGAACAACTTGTGGAAACTTGCTGAAATCTAGATAGACTGGCATTAGTGCTTTTCCTCCCTAGAAAGGGTTGCTTAGATAGATCTGGTTTTGCATATGCCTGCTAGGTCTTATGAATTACTCCTCACTCTCCCTGCTCATCAGAACCTCTTTTCTTGATGATCTATTTAAAAGTCTGGGGCCGGAGAGATGGCTCAGTAGAATAAGCGCTTGCCTGGCAAGCGCAAGGGCCTGAGCTCAATCCCCGGTTCCGCCAAATAAATAAATAAATAAAATCAAAGTCTGTCCTTCTAGATCAAGGTCACCATTTTTACTTTATAGAATTCATGACATGAATCTTTTGAAAATTAGGACATGTATCTAAGAGCATTTTGTCTTTGCTTCTTTTCTGTGGGACTTTATCTGTGATTTCCAACAGTGATTGAGATTTTTCAGTTATAAGACTGCAGTGTTCTAAAAAATATTTTCAGGCAAAGATTGCTAGCTACATTTTCTCCTGAAGTCCTGTCCCTCATCTTGAGCAGACCCTGTAGTCATCTTATTCTTGAACTTCTTTTTTCTTTTTTTTTTTTCTCTCTTTAAGTGTTATATTATTCTGAGCAAAAGATTACAGATATGAGCAATTTGTATGAAAAATGGGAAAATATTGTGCTTCAAATTTCTCAAGGTTTGTGCTTTTTCTACCCCAAGCTACTTTTCAGGAGAATAATAAAGAGTACATGCTCTAGGGTTGCTTTATTAAAAATCGTAGTTTCCTACATGTTAGGAAGGAAGAAATAAGGCAGTGGTGTCTATCACAGGATTGATGTGACAATTTAGTGAGGTGATATAGTGTAAAGTGTCTGGCAGTACTTAAAGTATTATTAGTGTAATTATGAAGTGTTAGTATGTGTACATAGATCATAAATATCTAAAGCCATATAAATTTGCCACAGTTTACATGCTGAGCAGGCTTGAATCAGAAACTAAAACCTGTTATTTCTAATTGGTTTATGCCATAAAAACAAAACTCATTGGCCCTTTTCTTTCAGATGGAACTAGAAGCGTTACGTTCTATTTATGAAGGAGATGAAAGTTTCCGAGAGTTAAGTCCAGTTTCATTTCAATACCGGGTAAGATATGGCATGAATAAGTATACTTCCTACTTCACTAGGGGAAGAAAAAAAAAAACCTATACGTTACCCCAAAATTGCTGTTTTTTTTTTTTTTTAAATATTTATTTATTTATTTATTTTGTGTGTGTGTGTGGCCAGTTCAGCCCACCAGGGGGCGGGGCTGTCTGGCATGTGGTGCTGGGGGATTGAACCGTGGTCCCTGTGTTTTAC